ACTAAATACCAGGGCCAGAGAGATGTCAGTGAATAAAAGCACTTTATGTAAAGTGATATGACTACTTCTGGGTTGTTTGCAGAAGCATCTAGTATGAAGGGTTATGAGACTGCCTCAAGGGAACAAGCAAAGAATTTAGAAAAATTGATGAACTTTTTGACATGAAGCACTAGATCTTTTTTTTTTTCTAATGTGTTTTTTGGTAGTGGCTATCCCACCTTTTAACTTTGTAATTTTTGTGTGAAATATATCTGAGAAATCTACTTTAACACTCAATTTTCAGTATGATACACATACATATGTACACAAGGGTGGGCAAAAGCAGGATTCCAGTTGTGAAATCTCAAAACACAGGGTTTATTCATATATTATTATTTATTGATTGATTACTAGAGGCCCAGTGCACGAGATTCGTGCACTGGGGTGGGGGGGAGTCCCTCAGCCCAGCCTGTACCCTCTCGCAGTATGGGACTCTTCGGAGGATGTCCTCCTGCCGGCTTAGGCCCGATTCCTGGTGAGATCGGGCCTAAGCCTGCAGTCAGACATCCCTCTCACAGTCTGGGGCTCCTGCAGTCTGGGACCCCTTGCTCCTTACCGCCCACCTGCAGCGGAGGCAGGAGAGGGTCCCACCACTGGCACTGCACTCACCAGCCGTGTGCCTGGCACTCAGCCAGAAGCTGGGTTCGCTGCTCCTTAGTGCTGCCTCTGAGTGGAAAAGGCTCCTGCAATCACTGCTTTGCTTGCCAGCCATTAACCCGGCTTCTGGCTGAGTGGTGCTTCCCCTGTGGGAGCGCACTGACCACCAGGGGGCAGCTCCTGAGTTGAGCGTCTGCCCCTGGTGGTCAGTGCATGTCATAGCGACTGGTCGATTTGCATATTAGGCTTTTATTATATAGGATTGTATTATTGTTAAACCACTTTTGCTTACCCCTGTGTATGTATGTATGTATATATACATATACGTATGTATGGTATATATGGAAAATCTGAAGATTAGTCATTGGTCCCATCCTAGTAATATAAAAACACAGAAACCTTATTGAAAAATAGGCACTTAGAAACCCAGAGA